AAATAATGCAACTCAGAATATGACGCAAACCTGCAATAATTAAATGTTAAACAACACAAATATGCTTTATGTATTTAATCCCATTCTATTAAGCAATGTCTTTGCTTCTGAGCTTCGATGATCCAGTTCAAGCGTACTAATAAGCACAAATTACTCTAGACAAACATTTGTGTGTCTTTGTTTATTGCTGAAGTGTGTTGAAATGTCTTCTTCTGCATTCTACTGTACTTTCCCTTCAGCCTGAGGCGCATTCATTTCACTTCTGGTATGAAAAGGCTTTTATATTTGCCAAAAATATAACTTTTTTATTTTAAAAACAAACAAGCAAGCCCTGTCCAGATTTAAAAAGTAACACAAAAGTAACGTAACGCATTACTTTCCATAAAAAGTAACTAAGTAACGTAATTAGTTACTTCTTATGGAGTAACACAATATTGTAATGCATTACTTTTAAAAGTAACTTTCCCCAACACTGGTTCTCTCATCATTAACTAACCAACATGTCACTACAAACCTGTATGACTTTGATGAACAGATCGAAACAAGTCATTATTCATTGACAGTCTTCTCCTCCGGTGAGCTGTTTTTTCACTCCAGCACTGATCACTCAGACTGCGCTATTAATTGGATCACTGAAAAGATCCGACTCGTATGGATTTGAAACAACATGACGGTGAGAAAATAATGACAGAATTTTAATTTTTGGGTGAACTTACTGTTCTGCTATTTCTGTCTGTCTCTTCTCCTTCTGTCTCTCTCTTTCTTTCTTTCGGTGTTATTTCTGTCTGCTTAATTTCTCCTGCAGTGTGAGTGAATGTGTGTGCAAACGCGTGTGCGTGTGTGTGTGTGTGTGTGTGTGTGTGTGGATGTGCTAGAAAGCTCTGGGGTAAAACTGCATTTGTTAGCAGGAACCCCAGCTGGTCCCATTATAAATGCATCACTAGTACATCCACTGAGACATTTAACTGTGAGTATTTGATTATAAATGTGAGCATATACAGTATGCATACAGTGACCATGAAATTAAGTCTATAAATGGTTAATCCCGATTATTTTGCTGAAAAATATATATTTATTTTTTCTACATTTCATCAGAATTATTGCACTTTCGCATAATATTGCACAGATTTAGTTGCGGCAAACAGCACAAATGGCTGTGAAAGAAACAGAGTGGCTGTACTACACTTTTATTTGAGCATTTTACATTTTATTACGCTTTTTCCCTAATGTGGCGAGAGCATGTGCGGTTGCCAGATTGGGATGATTAAGTAAACCGCTAGGCAGAAAATGTGTCCATTTAAGAAAAGGAAAAGTTCTGATTGGGGGATTTAAACTCTTGACATCTGGCAACCACAACCATGAAAGCTTGTGGAGGCTTGTTACCATTGCAAGATAACGCAAATGCCAAATTAAAAAAGCGCATTTTTAGTATACTTAACCAGTGAGCAAATATCGCAGACGATCATGCTTAATAAATCAAGAGACTCATAATAAAATATGATTCATTGTACAGCCCTACTTAAGTCACAATTATAATATATGTGAGCCTGCAGCACAAAAGCAGTGTTAGGTCGCTGGGGGATATTTGTAGCAATAGCCAACAATACATTGTATGGGTCACAATTATCGTTTTTTTTAATGTCAAAAATCATTAGGATAGTAAGTAAAGATCATGCTCCTTGAAGATATTTTGTAAATCTCCTACCGTAAATATATCAAAACTTAATTTTTGATTAGTAATATGCATTGCTAAGAACTTCATTTGGACAACTTTAAAGATGATTTTCTCAGTATTTTGAATTTGTTGCCCCCTCAGATTCCAGATTTTCAAATAGTTGTATCTCGGCTAAATATTGTCCTATCCTAACAAACCATACATCAATGGAGAGCTTATTTATTCAGCTTTCAGATTATATATAAATCTCAATTTCGAGAAATTGACCCTTATGACTGGTTTTGTGGTCCAGAGTCACATATGAATGTCATTGTGTTAGATAAGTGGCATTAATTTCAAAGAAAGGTATATTTCACAAAAAGGTTTTCTAATATGAAAAATCAATGTTACCCTAATGCAATGACATTCATACATTTGTAAACATCACTTAAGCTCCTAAATACTTTTTACTGTATATTCACTGTATATTCAATCCACATGCAGACTGTGTGTTACCTGAGTCTCCCGTCTTGTGCGGCGGCTCCTCCTGGAATGATCTTGGTGATGAAGATGCTGGGGTCGTCTCCGACATGAGGGTTATCAGTCCCTCCGGCGATACTGAAGCCTAGCCCAGAGTTCCCCTAGACACACACACACACACACACACACACAAACCCCCACAACACACACACACACACACACGTCCAGCTTGTTCAACAGAATGACAGTGTCTCATTCACATAAACTGAAGCTCTGCTATGGGTGCCAACATATATTCACATGCATTAATTTCGCTTTAGATGTCAAATGCAATTTATTAACACTGAAACATGTCATTTATTGATAGAATCCATTGTGAAAAAGAATAGTATGGAAATAATATGCTTAATATACTTAATAATTATATACAGCAATATATAGTTAAGTGTGACCTGAATCTAATGTTTTCAGACACTTAAATGAAACTGTATTAAAGTTTAAATTTATATTAAATGCAATGAGGTGAACTTAAGAGTGCTTTTGAATCCCCCTAATTACATCTTTATATGTAATTTCATAATTATTTTTATTGTCTTGTACTTGTACTGAAAAGTTTTTATTGTAAAATAAAATATACTTTCATGTCATTTCTATTGAAACTTGTATGCCGTGTATTTAAATTGAATCATCAGTGGCAAATCCTTTAAATATGAAAACCGTACTTACAGGCTGTGAGTCAGAAGCACCAGACTGTCTTTGCAAAGTTGGAATTGCTCCACTTTATAGAAACAGACACCGGCATTGTAGGCTACTGGCTCAGGAAACAGTCCCCATCCGCCGCAAAATGTGCTGCACACATCTGAATATTTGGGTTGAAGTGTTCTGGAACAGTGTTGTAAATACAACTTAACCACTGATTTCTAGTCGTGTCCTCTTTTGGAAGACCAAACAAAGTAGTTTCGCTTTCACAACGAAGCACACAGCGTCTTCACGACATGGCGGCAGCAGCAACAATACTACAGCGAGAATAAAAGTTACACCTTCTTTCTTTGCGTGAACATTTGGGTGGCATTATGCAAATCTTCTCACATAGTGACGTAGACATGTGGGGGCGTGTTAGAACGAGACGTTTTAGGGGGGCGTGGCTGACTCTTAACTTTTATAAAGAATATCTCTTTGGATTTGAGACTTTAGTCTTTGCAACTTTACAGATCTTCTTTATGCACCAAGAGCTTGTAACACTCCAAAGAGAAAGGAAAAATAGAAATCGCATCATATGACCCCTTTAAAATATATTTAAATGTCATTCTGAATAGCACACTAAAGTTAAATTACCTTATTATAAAATTATAATCAAGTACTTAAGTATGTTAGTCAATACATCAACATAAGTATGCTTCCTTAATAATCAACAAAAGATTATTAAAACATAATGATTTAAAATGTACTTTAAAGGAAACCTTTTAATTTGACAGCATTACGAAGAGCACTTTTTGAAGGTCTAAGAAACAGCCACCAAAGCGTATCTTTAAGTTAGTGGCCTTATTTAATTCAGATTATATCATTTGCAAATACAGTTTTGTAAAAAATATACGGTTACACTTGATTTTAAGGTGTCCTTGTTACAGTGTAATTATACATTTAAGTACTGAGTAATATTAATTAACTACATATATTTACTATATGGTTAGGGTTTGGCTTTTTATTTAATTATGCATAATTAATTGTTGTTATAATAGTAAGAACATGTAACAAGGACACCTTAAAATAAAGTGTTACCAAATATACTTATAAGATTTGAGGTACACATTCAATATAATTAAGCATACTTCTTTTTTCACAAAGGTTATGTAAAATCTCACTCTTAAAAAATAGTACTTCATATTAAAAATACCTTAGGCACCCACCCATACAAAGAAAGACCTATGTTAAATAATACAGCAGTGTACTTGTTTGTAAGATTTACCCTTTCCAACGTGATCTCTTCATATTCGATCTCTCCTTCTGCTCCATTGACCTACAAGACAACACATGCGATGTGAGTCCCTTGAAGACATCAGCTTAAGACATGCATTACACAGTAATAGACATGCAAATATAGCATTAAAAGAAACCGACTCTTTTTACTGAAAGGTGGGACTTCCATTCCTACAGTTTTGGGCAATGCATTTATTTTCTTTATTTTACAAGTGTTCAAATGCATAACTAGACTTTTACGTTATCTGAAGAAAATATGAAGTGTTGCTTGACTGCTCAAACATTTCAATCAATCAGAACGGCGAGTTACGTTTACAGTTAATGTCAAGTTTAGAGTTAGGGACTTCTACACCATTCTTATCTGCCTGTTATTTAGGATAAGTTATGGTTCGGGTTAGATTCAGTGGGTTATGACTGTTTTTGGATAGGTTCCAGAATCAACAAAACGTACAAATAAAACACAGACCCAAAACCCAAATCACTTGATATGTGATTGCTAGGGTGTTGAAAGCTGCAACAAGGGCACTGTGGGTGGCTGCCAAGGCATTATTATTATCATTGTCTGGGTATTCTTGGTTTGAGGTATCATTCCTGTCTGCACCACTAGTAATTTCTAGATCTAAAGACTAAAATATGCATAGTACTTACATACGGTGAGCCATCCAGTGTGTCTGTATTTACCACCACTGGTGGAGAGTTCGCCTGCAGGAGAAAAGAGAGAGGGATTTTCAGCACAGTGCTTATAAGACATAATGTCCGGAACACACCACGGTACTACTTCGACTTAATTTGCTGGACGCAGCATGCATACTGTGCGCAGTAAGCAACTTTTCAGTATGCATACTGAATACCTTGATCACCTACTATGCTACTGTTCAAAAGTTTGGGCTTGTCAAGTCTCTTCTGCTCACCAAGGCTGCATTTATTTGATCGAAAATACAGTGCAAACAGTAATATTGTGAAATATGATTACAATTTAAAAGAACTGCTTTCTATTTGAATATACAGTAAAATGTAATTTATTCCTGTGATGCGCAGCTGTATTTCTAGCATCATTCCTCCAGTCTTCAGTGTCACATGATCTTCAGAAATCAGTATAATATGCTGATCTGCTGCTCGAGAAACATTTCTGATTATTATCAATGTTGAAAACAGTTGAGCTGCCCAATATTTTTGTGGACATTAACATTAACATTATATATGTCACTTTTGATCAGTTTAATGCATCCTTGCTAAACAAAATGATTAATTTCTTTCAAGTAAAAGTAAAATAAAAACTCACTGACTCCAAACTATTGTAAACAGTACTGCACATTTTTATTTCCTAGATCCTTAGTAGACATGCAATGTTATGTGACAACAATGTAACATAATACTGTTTGAAATGTACCTGTACATTATATAGCAGGCAGATTAATGTATATTTAAGAGGTAAACCAGTATTTCATTCAAAACAGCCAAGATTTTTAAAAGTCTGAAAAGTTTTGCAGGTTTTCCACTGAAATAATGTAAAAGCAAACAGCACATACATCCACTGATAAGCTGTACTACAACACACACGACCCTCTTTACAACTCACACACACACACACACACACTACAAGCAATTTAAAGCTGCAACGTCTGCTAGCACCTCTATTGCTTTCCAAGAAATGTGATTAGAGACACACACACTCGTAGTCTTGAGCGCAAATGGAGAAAAACTAACTTGGAAGTTTTTAGAATTGCGTGGAAAAACAGTATGTCCAGCTATAGACAGGCTCTAAAAGCTGCCAGGGCCGAGCATATCCACAAACTCATAGAAAATAACCAAAACAATCCTAGGTTTTTATTTAGCACAGTGGCTAGATTAACAAATAACCAGACGCCACCCGATCTAAATATTCCCGCACAGTTTAATAGTAATGACTTTATGAATTTCTTCACTGATAAAATAGATAACATCAGAACTACAATAACAAATGTAGATTCTACAGCGTATAATACTTTAGCTTCATTCATCGCACCAAAAGATAAACTGCAGTGCTTTACAGCTATAGGACAGGAAGAGCTAAATAAACTTATCACTGCATCTAAACCAACAACATGCCAGTTAGATCCTGTACCC